TCCCCAGTCACCTGCGTTGCAGCTGTCAACACCTAACCCGCGAACGGGCATATTCTCCCGCACTAAAATGTAACGAGGGACTGTGGAAGAGTCAGGAACAAACTGAAGACTGGGCACTAGTTTATCGCTCGCTGTCTCGCCAATCTCGTTCCCCGAGCCTGCGATCCTTGGGAAGGAAACGAAGGCTCTGGGATAATCCATGTCAGAAATGAATATGATTGGTTGCTGGTATACAATGGAATGTTGCAATTTTGCAAAAATTAATTTTTAACCGTATATTTTTATATACAACATGGCGGCCGTTTAGGAGTGTACGAATATTGTTTTGGTTTTTCAGAGCTGTGCTATATACTAATACTACAAAGGAAATGCAAAGAAACGTATACTTAATGCGTCTAATATCACAACAGTTAAATGGAGCGTGAAAACTTTACTCATATTTGTGTTGTACAGGTTTTCTGTAGTTTTAATCTATACATAGTATACAGTACTCACTGTCAGTACACTGTACTATTTGACTATAATATCAAATATGTGCTATATTTTGCAAATACTATTTGTGTCAGAAGTGGTTAATAACTTTTATTAATTTGTTTTTGTGTTATTTAATTGCGAAGAACTAGCTAATAACTAGTTTCAATAAATCCAATCTTGGGATTTACTGTTATATATTTTATTCTTTTATGTATATACTGTACTTTAACTTGTAGCATGTAACCTTTCCCTATATGGGTGCATATGAATCTTTTGCTGTTATAATTTATTTATAGAAGAGTTCAAAAAACCTTTATCCTCTAAATAAACCACAATTTCACAGGCAGTGATATTAACTTGTATTCCAGTCTGCATACACCTAATGCACCTATCAATGTTAACCCACAGAGAGGGGAGGGGGTTGGGCATATGTGGGGTATTTGATCATCAATTGCATCCCCACCCTGAGGATTTTGATTAGCATTTTGGCCCCGAGTTGGGGCAATTTGAACTGAATGACTTTTATTAACATAGTATTTATTGCAATTTATTGCAAAATGGTGCGCCATTTGACCAGTATTTATTGCCCGACGGTGGGGCATTTGATTGAAAATTGCTCTAAAAATAAAATGCCCCCACCTATGCCCGACCCCCCTCCTCTGGGGCTTAACATTGATGGGTGCACAATAATATAATGAATTCTTGGGTTTCACTATGGCATTTTGCACATTTTGTCATTGGTTCTGACAGGGGGTCAACCTAAAAAATGTATTGATGCTTATGTTGTACTGGAGTGAGCAAATGATATGAAATTGCATGTATTTGCTACCAAACACAAGGCCAACACATACAGTGAAAAATTAATTCACTCTGATGACTGTGTCTCGATTTAGAGTTGACCACCCATCAAATTTATGATTTCATTTGAAATACAATAATATACAATATAATATTACTGACAGCTAATTGTAGCATAAAGTATTTAATGATTTTAATTTATTAAGTAGCACAATATGCCAATTTGGCAATCCCTTTGTTAATCTTGTCCACACAGTAATTCAAAGAAGCCCTGCCCTTTGTACAAGGTTGTATTAATTGGATTCTGTCCAAGAAAACGTCATTGATCCAGATGTTACAAAGTATGAATTCCAGATTGGGAGACCATATAAATATTTTTAATAAATTCATATACTTTTTTTAAGAAATGTTCTATTCATATTAAATGATAGTGATCATGCAGCCACCAATACTAGAATTCATTTTCATCAGCTTCCCCCTGGTTATGACCCCCTGCAGGGAACCACCTAGGGTGCAGGTATAATTTTGTGATGAATGATAAAAAATTGCCCAATATAAATGCCGAGCCATAGAAATATTTTTATTACCATGGTCATGACAATTACCCTGTCAGTTTGATTGCAATATCAAAACTTGTTATTTACACTATAAAACAACACATACCTACTCTGAGAAGGGGCAACAAAAACTCATATATTTCAGTTTTTTCCCTTCCTATCCAATTCAAATCATGCTGGCCACGAAAATAATTTCCTGATTGCGATACAATAAATTGCCAAATGCCTGACAATTTGGGCTAGCGACGCCCCTGAATGCTACAATGATAGCAACCTCTATTGCTATTATATCTCCAACCTTGAATGTCCTATTTAGTACTGTAGTTAATTAATTAATGGCAGTAATGAGTAATCAACATGAAGTCAAGTACATTTCCAGCCATTGATGAGAAATATTGTCCAGAAGTACAGTGTAATAACAAAATAGGGTGCACTAAAGAGCATTGTGGCTTAATGATCTAATGAGATAATTAACCAAAGATAGGTAGACATGCAGATGGATAGCCTGCACCTGTGCCTGCACACAGGCTATATGACATATATATCATTATATAGTCTGCGTGCAGACTAGCAGATGGACTGGTTAACCCATTCAAATACCAAGTCCAATACTTTCCCCTTGACAAGAAAAAAATCTGGCATTAAACAGCTTAAAATAACAAAGTAGGGCAAACTTAGGCACATTGCAGCTTAACTTGCTCCAACTCTATCATTACAAACTGTAAATCTTTAATAGTAATTCCTATCCAGACACAAAATTTGGTTATAATTCAATAATTTGAAAAGTGCTGTTGCATCCCTAACCTACTAAACTGCTGGCAAATATTAAAACATATAAGGAAAGCTATAAGGGCAGTTAAAAAATATAACAAGGATTTGGTTTATAAACTGTTAATTTCTAGAGATGATAACACAATATAAACATGGAATTCACTATATTCATATTTTTAATGATATGTTTTATAAGTCTAAATTCCTTTTAATATTCCTCTGATATACAAATCTTCTGAAAACTTTAATATTATCAAGGTTTATAACCGACTTTAATAATATTAGAATTGAGACTCTTTTCAGGTATTTTAATACTACAGTAGCATTAACACACAGTACATTGTAATTGTTTTTGTTCTTAAATTGCCCTTTCCACGCGCTCTTTCAACCATTAGAAACATAATAGCATTAAACGGCTAAATTATGCTGGAGGAACCACAAATGTCTCTACATTTAAAGCTTTTTCAAACTGACACAGAGGTGAATGGACAAGATTTACAATTAATTGTGACATTTTTCTTCAACAACAGCACTCTTCGCGGCTCCTGCCGGCTCTATACTGACCCTGTTTCACACGCAATATTTTCCTTATTCAGTCGCTAACACACCTTTTGTATCCCACTATGAAGAACATCAACATTTCCACCAAAACCTCGAAAAAATCATCATTTTATAGACGAAACAATAAAATATTTCAAACAATTTGTTTTGCTTTTGCCAACGCATGCGCAGTTCGGTCGACATACAGTTTTCTGTATGTCTGAGATGGATTATCCCAGAGCCCAGCCTAGACCTAGGCCTTCTAGTCACTTATTTATATTTTTTCATATTCAGCGCTTTTTCACATGAAAAGACTGGGACTAGGTGATTTGGGGGCGGTGCGGAGGAACCAAGCCTAGAAGGCCTAGTTGATTTCCCAACAACATGGCCCTGAAACCGCCCTGGTTGCGAAATGCCCAATTATTGCGTTCTCAAACAGAATTACTTGCAACTTAACGGCGAATTTAAACCGATACAGGTAAAATAAACTCATTTATAGTATAAACTTACTATTTTTATTTGTATACACGTCTAGAAAATCGGGGTTTTTATCATAAAGTTCAAAGCAACACTATTATTTAATATGTTGACATTTACTTCACAACGTGTAGCGAAAGCACAAAATGAGTCAAAATATATACCAAAAGTAGAATCTTTCATGAAATTTTGTCTTATACACAACTACATTAATATATATTTTCTCAATTTTGGCAAGAAGCAGTCTTGTGTTTGTAAAATATACAAACACATATACAATTATAATTTATTAAATAAAACGGATACATATATTATTAGCCCGTACAGTACTGTATATAAAAACGTACATTGTTTACAAATGGTATATCCGTAATATTTGAACAATAATTTCAAATTCCTCATTCCCAAATATAGTTATTCAAAGCAAAACAGTAGATTGTCTTGCGAATAAAAGAATTATTATTTTGTGCTTTCGCTTCACCTTGTCAACATAATAATAGTGTTGCTTCAAACTTTATGATAAAACCCCCGATTTTCTAGACGTGTATACAAATAAAAATAGTAAGTTATACTATAAATGAGTTTATTTTACCTGTATCGGTTTAAATTCGCTGTTAAGTCGCAAATAATTCTGTTTGAGAACGCAACAATTGGGCATTTCGCAACCAGGGCAGTTTCAGGGCAGTTTTAGCCTTGTTGTTGGGAAATCCACTAGGCCTTCTATTTTTTCGCTTGCGTCAGGCTTGTATCCTTCCTCCGCCCCGCCCCCAAATCACCTAGTCCCAGTCTTTTCATGTGAAAAAGCGCTGAATATTAAAAAAATATCAATAAAAATAGAAGGCCTAGGTCTAGGCTGGGGATGACGGTGCCTATTTGCCAGTGGAATACATGCATCTCATTGGCAGGTGACGTCATCCCTTGGGTATTTAAGAAGCCACGATCGCAATTTTAGATCACCCCTGATGAAGACACTAGACTGGAGTGTCGAAACGTTGGGTCTTGATTACAATTCGACTGGTCTTTGTAATCATTTATTTAAACAAGAGTAGCGAGCGAAACATGATTGATATACCTGGTTGCAGTGAACGAACAAACTTTAAAACTAAAAATGGCTTGCGCAGTTGCGCACCCAAATTTAAAAGCTGTAATCGTATTTTGAGTTAGTGGATGGAAACTTTGTTGGATACTAATAGCTGTTTTGGGAAATTGAGAGCAATTTCAAATCTGTTCAGTTTTTTTTATACACCCTGTACTGTTATTCAAATCTGTTCAGTTTCAGTTTTTTATACACCCTGTACTGTTATTCAAATCTGTTCAGTTTTTTTTTATACATCCTGTATTGTTATTCTATTCTAATTATTCCATCTTCCCGGCTTCGATAAGCTATGGGCCAATTTTCATCCATGTGTTGATATTTTTTCCAGGCAATAACAGAGCACCTGCGCCTGCTCACACCTGTGAAGATAAGGACCAGCGGTGTTACAAAATGAAGGATACTTCATGTTGCAAAGACAACGAAATCTTGCGAGACGTATGCCCGAAAACGTGTGGAGTGTGTCAGAGTTATCTTAAGTAATAAAATATTTATAGAACAGTTAAAACTATTGAAAAACGTCACTCATTTCAGTCTGAAGGCATTCTCGATAAGGAATGAAATTGTCAGCCGTTAGACAGGGTTTGATACAAAATTATCCAGGTATAAAATAACGCTTACTCAAATAATGGGCATTGCATTTGAGATAACAGAAAATCTTTTGTTTTCTTGCAGCCTACATATGTATGTATTGCTTGCGCTGCTAATGTTTCCCACTGTACTTTGCATAGCACAATACCATAGCACAATACCATAGCACAATACCATAACAATATACAGGGTGTATAAAAAAGATACCTCTTTACTGCTTTAGAAATCAAACTATTGTTGTTAATCACAAGATTTTATGCTCCTGGGCAGGGGCGAAACTTGAGGGGGGGGTATGGGGGGTGTGACACCTCCCAAAATACGAATCATCTGGATTGGCAGGGCGAATCATCTGGATTGGCAGGACAATCAAATATTTTAAATGATTGAGTGTAAAGTTATTAAGTAACTTACATGGCTTTCAGAGGGAATTGAATAGAATTTATAGACCTAAATTTTACAGATATTGATCCAAAAATAAGGGTTTCACCCATGTTTTGACAGGAAATTCTACCGAAAAATGTTTTTGACCCTTGAAAAATTTTTCGACCCTTTTAAAATTTTTTCACATGAGACTGAAAAAAAAATTCGTGCCGCAAAAATTTTATACCCCCCCTCCCCCTCCCGGGATTTCTAATGGTCCGCCCCTAGTAAATGTATTGTACTTAAAATCATGTTAAAATGGAGTGATAGAATCTATTACGAAAAAGCTTATACGTATATATAAATAGTAATAATTTTCACATATATATTTTTATCTGTAATTTGAACAATATATAATTGGTTTATATATGCATTGCTATGTAAATATTTGCAAATATAAAGTTAATAAATGTGGAAAGTACAAAGCAACAATTTTTGAGTCAAGTCCTTCTCTTTCTTGGATCCACTAAGATCTCCATTCACCATCCAGTGGCAGTGATCAATTTTTTTATTGTCTTTTCATTGTTTTGAAAATCCCACTGTCAGGGGCGCCGGAAGCAATGTGAAGCGGCGGGGGCAGCCATTAATTTCAAAAGGGCACTTGCTTCTCACCCTTTTTTTGGGCGGCAATATTTGTTAAAACTTTATTGTACGGATACTCGATTACTTGTGGCTATTGTGGGTCGGCAAACTTCGACATTAATTTTGAACAATTTTATTTGTTGCACCATGTTAAGGGCACAAAATAAAATCAGTAAACGGACGTATATTGCCTGATTTAAAATTAATCAGGGGCCGCGGAACCGGGGGGCAATGGGGGCATGTGCCTCCGGCCCACTTTTTTAAAAGTGAAAAAATGCACTTTTGGGGGGCTAGAAAAAAAGTGCCCTTTTTGCAGCAGTAAAGACTCTGTAAAGGCCATTTCCGACGTTATAGGAACTCAAAAAATTATACAAAAGTGATTCCGCGGCCTCTGGCATTAATTTTACTATAACTGGTCAAAATTAAGCAAATTAAGATTGCTTAAATATTGCTTAAAAATAGTGATAAATTCCAATTCATGTGAATAACGCACAAATATCGAAGCGCAGTTCTGGTGAAAAAGGGCAACCTGTTGCCTCCGTGCCGCCCCCGCACTGTTTCGGCAACGGGGGCAGTTGCCCCCGCTGCCCCCGTGGCTCCGGCGCCCCTGCCCACTGTTGTACATTGTCACTAATTTCTTACACATGCATGTATACAGTATACACGCGAGTGCATATATTTTACAAGTACAGTACAACAACAGTAATATGATCTATTAGCAATTCGATTTTAATTCCCAGGGGCCTAAAATCTTTTATACTTAAGAATTGCAAAGTGGATTTCGTAGGAAATTCCGAGGTTGCGTTTTTTTTTATACACCTCGTCCCCGCTGTCTGTACAGGGTGTATAAAACAAAAACGCAACTCGGAATTTCCCAAGAAATCGACATTGTTTTAAAGACAAAAGATTTTAGGGGCCTGGGAATTTAAAATAGCACAACTGTCAAAATTACTGCACACAGCACACGCGAGTGCATAAAGCAAAATTGTTGTGCATTTATTTAATGCACAACAACAATAATACTGATGATCTATTAGCAATTCGATTTCAATTCCCAGGGGCCTAAAATCTTTTATGCTTAAGAATTGCAAAGTGGTTTCTTAGGAAATTCCGAGTTGCGTTTTTTTTATACACCCCGCTGGCTGCACAGCAGTAAAAAATATTCAAATTAGTTTCTCACCACGCGTATAGTTGTTGGAACTCTTCACCGGGTCGTTTAAAACGCTTCAAAGTTTGTGAAAAGTTTGCTCTGTTCTTTGTAAATGTGTACAGAAAGGTTAGGTATGGTTGTATTGGTTATATATAGTCAAGGAATTCACGCGATTGCAATGATGGTTATAAGATCTGGCGAAATATGGCGAATATGGGCGTACATGCGAAGTCGTTAAAGTTAAGGTGAGGTCGTATTTTGTATATTTTGTCGCTTAAACAAATGATAGCATTCGTGTATAAACCCGTCGAAGAATTCTTAAAGCCTCGTGCTTAAAGCTTTCTGTGATCACAGTAGGAATTTTGCATCGGCAAGCTCGAAATTTTGAAGAATTTGTATGCGAAATGTTTGAGGGAAATGACTTAATGTTAAACACTGAGTCAGTTTGCTCAAATATTTCTTACAAATTCTTCAGAACTTACAATTTACCAATGCAAAATTCGTACTGTGATCACAGAAACTTTAATAGTGTGACCCAGGCTTTTGGATAAGCAAACTTGACGAACGAATTGCGAATCATTAGTCCTTTTCATATCGCGAACATGCGGTCCGGCTAGCCGTGTAGCCCAATGTATTCTATACCGAGCCTATCATAGTTGGTGACTTGGTGTCTGAACTACCTGATGAAAAACGTTGCTGTAAAAGCTAGGAGTTTTGCGGTGGTAATAGGAGGTTTCTCAGAAGGTCCGGCTGCATTCGGTACTATACTATAGTCTATATATACTGCAGTATATTTTACTTTAATTAACGGCATAGTTTAATTAAATTCATAAAGTATACGAAGTAACGAAGTCTGAAATTAACAGTGCCCTATAATATACGAAGTCTGAAATTAATGCCCACTCAGAAGCAAGCAAGAAAACGTTCATGGCTTCATGGCTCATGGGAATGTTTTCTCATGTCTATATATGTCAAACGAAAACAAACATAGGCGTACGGGACTGATGCTTTCCAGGGGGCAGTTGAAAGTTTGCCCGAATTTTTATGGAGGATTGTAATGGAATTACCTGAATTTAACCTATTTGCTGATAAATGTGCCCGAATTTTCATGAATTTTCGTAAATAACATTTGCCCGAATTTCCATGGTTTTCCAGAATTGGGGGGGGGGGCAGTTGCTCCCCTGCCCCTCTGTCTCGTACGCCTATGGAAACAAAAGTTGCATGAGAGTAAACGAGAGTTGACTTTTATAAACTCTCATTAAAATCATAGCTCTCGCGAAAAGGTGTTTTATTTCAGTTTTAAATAAATCTGTAAAATAGCTTTAAATAATGCAACGCTACCTTAATTTTCGGGAGACCTACTGGAATAAAATTTGATTTGAACACAAGCTCAAAGTTGATCAGTTGGGGATGAATACTAAAGTCTGGTTATCCATATGGTCGCGTAATGGTCGTAAAATAGAGTCACGATCTTTCGCAACGGCCAGTTTATAATAGTTTGTACGTGTGAACCATAAATAAATCATGAGTATTCTCTAGTTATAATCACTCCGCGTATTTTCAGTTCTAAAATGTTGTGTTTCGGCTGATGAGAAAGATCGTGACTCAATCTTTACGACCGTTACGACCATATAGAAACCTGGCTTAAATACTATAGTGGGTTTTGAAGTAGTATACGTGTGAATATTAAGAGTAGGAATAGGAATTAATATTTGAAACAAAAATTAACAAAAATTGGAATGAATATTTCTCCCCATTAAGGGGCCTTTTAGAATTTTAGAAGTAAGAATATATTATATATTTAAGGGAACATCCTCTTCCAGGAGAGTTGGCGGTCAATCCCGAGGGAGAGGAGCGCATCATCTCTCATCCTAATTTGACCGCGAGTATTAATAACAATTGGAACTTTGAGATTCATCGCGAAAAATCTTTATTTATTCACTTTTCATTATCCTATTTTCCAAAACGATTTACAATCGTACATTAATTAAAATTACATAATAGAACTATAACTATATACACGTACACAATTATGTTGCGTTCTATATCTTTTATCAGATCCGTCGTAATTAATTATAACCGCTGCTGATCACATCAAATCTAATTCACTTCTATATGCAGAGCCGTCAAATGCTCCGTTGCAAATCGTTTTCTCTAGTTGCCTAGGAAAATGAAAATAAGCAGAGTTACAGAAATTTTGTGCAAGATTGGTAAACATTGATAAGATAGGTTTTCCATAAATTTTGCGTCATCCCAACACCTTTACACTAAGATATTTTTCAGTTCAATTTATCTAGCTCTACACAAAAGATATGACTCCGAGGAGTTGCTTATATGAGACCAAAGTTGTGAGTTGTATTTGGGTCGTATGACTTGGACTCGAGTTGGACTAAAGTCGGACTCGCAATTTTTGTGACTTGGACTTGACTAGTTAACTCAGATTAACGAGTTGTGTCTCAGACTCGAACAAAATGACTTGTGACTTCATTTGGACTTGTCACCACAGACGCAAGTCACAAACATATGGTCGTAAATATCTACTGAAAATTAACGTTTCTACAATTTTCCGATCGATGTACTGTGACTGATGCAGCATATGAATGCATGTGAAGTAGCTTATAATCTTGATATAATTGACCATTTGCGTAATAGACTAAATTTTGATCTCAACAAAAATTTCATTACAGCTTGAAAGAGCATCACAAAATTAGTAATAATCCAAAGTTTCGTTGCAAAATGATGTAAAATGCAGAAAATATAGCCTTGCGAAATTTGCAATTTTCAGTCATTTTAGATTACAAACCGGAAATTGACAGCCTCGAAGTGTTTGGGGCTGTCAATTTCCCGTTTGTAATCTAAAATGACTGAAAATTGCAAATTTCGCAAGGCTATATTTTCCGCATTTTATAACATTTTGCAACGAAACTTTGGAATATTACTAATTTTGTGATGCTCCTTCAAGCTGTGATGAAATTTTTGTCCAGACTTGTTTAATTCAAAATTTAGTCTATTACGCAAATGGTCAATTGTCATGCCAGTTCATGATAAAAAGAACTGCACAAAATGACAAATAAAACATCATGCTGGATGCCTGGAACCCACTAAAAAAGCATTCTCATATTTCTCATATACACAATCCATTGGCTGTCAGATAACCGACAGCCACTGAGATTGTGGATTCGTCATACGCGGATGTTTTTCAGCGGGTTCCAGCCCAGTGGCGTAATTACTATGGGCTCAGACCGGGAGAACCCGGGGGCCCCCAACCACAATGGGCCAAATGGGGGCCCCAGGCTTAGGCGATAGAGCAAAAACATTGGCCAGGGCCTCTGATAAATACAAAGTTATTTTCTGACCATCAGAAATCTGTAAAATCTCTCCCCAAAGACCAGGAAATGGCATTTCAGAGAGTCTAGATTAAAACATTTTCCGGATGAGCATGCCCTGGACCCCGTAGAAAACTGGTGCATATACGGCGCTCGACTCGTGCCTTTGGCACTTCTACTAGGGGGGCCTTCGAAAATTTTGAACCGGGGGCCCCCTGATATAACGTTACGCCACCTCTCTCCTCCGCAGAGGCTTACATGAAGTTTCTAGTGAGGAAAAAGTGAGCGCGCAAGGAGTGATGGGAAGAGCTAAATAAAGGAAGCCTCTGCGAGTTAATGCAATCATGCAATATGGCGTCGTATTTAGTCGTTTGTAGGAAAGTTCGATCAACCATCGGGGGTGTTAAAACATGTTTTCGACTTTCATTTTCAGGCGTACTTGAGTGTCCTGGGGTGAATTCAATATCAATATCTTCTTATGTCCATTTGCATCGAGAAATATTGAGAAATTGCAAACGAATATCAATGGATACGAGCTATCTGATTATAAATATCCTCTTAAAGGTGCCCTACAGTCTATATGTAAACAAAGCCTTTGTTTACATTTTTGTGTCCAAAATATTGAGCTTTATTCCACAACTATTTATATTTTCAAGCTTCTAGAGTATAATAAATTATCAAGAAACAACAATCAGGCTTTTCAAGAACCCAAAACATAGTTAAACTGTTTGTATCATAAAAAGTGGGCTCCTTTGTGCACATGCGCAGATCGGATTGTAGAGCACCTTTAATTGCAACATTTCTTTATAAAAATGACTCTATTGAACTTCGATACTCAGATTATGAAGATTCATTTCAATTTCTTTCACATTTCCGTCGATTTCAAGTTTAAAAAAGGTCAAACAACTAGTTTGGTTCAAAAACCATACTTCGTCGCATTATCTGACAGAGCCTCCCCAACTTCATTTCAATCTTCCCATGACACCGCGCGCGCTCACTTTTATTCAGGAAACTTCATGTAAGTTATTTGTAAATACTTAAGGAGGTTCTGCGGAGGAGAGAGTTACGCCACTGTTCCAGCCATCCGGCACAGTGCCATAAAAACAGTAAAAACATTGAAAAAATTGCCAAAAACGTTTTGTATTTTTTTTCGTCAGTTAGGAATTCAATTATTTCGCATTGACATTCATGAAATGCTGGCCCTCCTAATAAGGCTGCATAAAAAGCTCGACTGTGCATGCCGCCTTCCCCCCATTAACAATTTTGTAGTCTCTTACCAAAGTCACCACAAGCACCGCAAGTAACAGGGCAGAGCTTTCTTGTTATCGGCGTGTTGGCTTTCATATCACAATCTTCTTGTATTGCAGGCCCTTTGCATATATTTTCACTACGATCCCTGCATTCTGTATAAAAATACCATATTGAACGTTCATAATCACATATATAATTGCGAAGACCAAATGTTTATTAGATCAAATACATTATATATTCTAAATACATTCCTACAATACACGGTGTCCCAAAAAAATGCCCCCAACATGATTCTGTAAAGCAATGTTAAGGGAATCGTGAATTTTGTTTTTGGCTTCCCAAGTATACATTTAAGTTATTCTAATGGAGCGTACTAAATAACATTATCTGGTGCTTCTTCCAAAATATTTTCTAAATATTTTCTTTCTTTTGTAACAATTCCAAGGATTATGTACGCTTGGATTTTAGAGAAAAAATTTAGGGTTGCTTTTTATTTCTAAATATACGTTTAACATTTTAATAAATAATTAATATTAATTATTCTAAGCATTTTAGCTGAGGCAGTCAACCTAAATAGACCCACATTGGCACATTCTGTTTCATGCGTGCTGCATTTAAGTCAATTTAGAAACATCGCACGCTAGATGGGATTTGGGTGTCGAGGGGGAGGGAGGGCTTAAAATTTGTATGATTCTTAGGGGGGGGGAGGCTGTTAAGATTTTTGTCACTCGAGGGAAGGGGGTATAATAGTATTTAAAAACTGAGTGTTACCATCCCCCCTCTTCCCTCCTCCGACATAAAAAATGAACTTTCCCTAATTGAAAATAATTGACATGTACTAGAAATGATTAATAATTCATTAATAATTCATGAGCGGAAAAGATAAAGGAAATCACTAGCGTGTACTGTAGGTGGTTTTATGTGTGACTAAAAATCATGTTCATTTACATAAACTTGTTAATTTTTAAACATGATTACTTTGCCAATGAACTCTTTAGATGGTTCGTTTTTAACGCCACTTAAACTCGAGCTATGCCCTCGTGTTTTATATCTAATAAAGCACTCGTGTTTTAAATACTAATTAATTATGCTGAATTGAAAATGGTAACTATCAAACTTTAATTAAACTGCTTCTGTTTCATATCCATAAATACTGGTAATTATACCATGAATTTATCCAAATATTTTCTGTTTGTGCAGAGAGTATTCCTTCTGTTATAAACTCACCATTGCAATCAGATTTGTCCGGTGTCAGTGACTCACTACCATCCCAACAGCAGCCAAATATGTAACTGGTGGGACACACACCAGTAAATGGAGCTAGTAGCAAAGAAGTAAAGATATCAGAATAGTATTTGGTATCCAAATTTGTAGAAGTCATTAAGAGATTTTTTTGTATGTCACGTAACACGCGCCCAAAACTAATGCGTATAATATACCACTTGAGGTTATGACTAAATTCAAAATTTTTATTTTTCGATACGTTTCTCAAATGGCAAACAAACTTTAAAAGTATGTTTAGTGCTTTATCTGTAAAATAATGCTAAAATGAAGAGATTCTAGACGGTACGCCAAAGAGAAAATGATGTCTGAAGTTCAGTAAGTTTTGCTTAATATACGGCTGTAAATATGGCGTCAATTTTAAAGCATCATTGATAATTGTATTTTAATTGACAATTTTTCACTATTAATTATTTCATGTTTCTCAATCGGCAGATGCATTTAAAAAGGTTGCTACTAAACTCTGTAAACTAGAGAATAAAGCGAAAACACGGTAATTTTGAGAGAGACGCCAAAAACATTTTAGGTTTCAGATTGAACACTTTTCATTGCAAATACGTCAGTGACATTTAAAAAAAATTGCCTCTGGCTTTGAATCATTCAAGAAGAAAATTCAAAAGAAATCAATGTTTAATGAGGTGTTGTATACCCACATATACAGGGTGTCTAAAAAAAAAGTGACCCTTTAGAAATCACCCTTTTGTTGTAAACGCCCAAACTTCATTACCTCTGCTAGTCTGGAAGTTTAGAATGCATTGTAATCGTACGAGCATATTAGAACAGCATAAATTCATATTAAATTGTACATGAAAGTTCTAATTGGAAGTTAAAAAGACTTGATCCCTTCAGTTCGATTAAAAATGGTTCAACTCCGGTCCGTAATATTGGAGTTTGCATGCTTTCAAATCTGGACTAAAGTTGTATTACATTGTGACGATCCTCGAACTTGGAAATCTCGTGTGTTAAATGTAAAACGGCTAGGTTCCTTGATGGAGTTTTAAGTTGTCCGCTGCATCGATTGTAGCTTGTCTTACTGACAGTTTGTATCGACTGTTAAATTTATTGTAATTGTAAAGTTAATTATGGGGTCGCCGTAACCCAGTGGCGTGCTGGCAGGGGGGGCCGGGGGGCCACGGCCCCCCCAGCTGGCAATTCTTGCAGGGCGCAAAAATGAAAAGGGGGCGCCGATCCCGCGCCGAGTTTTGAAAGTGGGTGGGAAAAAACGCATTCGAAAAAATATAGTTCCTTCCGCCGAGAAAAGATGTGTTTATAGGCTTATAAAACAGACTAAGCACATAGGCGACAAAGTGATATATTAAATTATACAGACTATTTTGTCTAACCGTATTTGCTAATTTGCTACCTCACGACTCACACGAGATCGTTCATATAGAAACATGAACTGTGATCACACGCAATGTCTCATCACCGGAATATTGGTCAGGTTTCAAAGCGATCACGGGAATTATGCCCTTTTTTGCTCGTATTATGCCCTTTATTATGCTTCACGAATCACAAGAGCGGCGCAAATTAGATAGTTTAAGTTATGATAATATAAAGTTGTGTACGCAATTTAGTTGTTTGCGCCAGAAACATCATGGAGTAATGTGAGTAATGAAATAATGCTGAAACGCGCCCTTTTGGCAGCCAGGCAGGGAAACCTTAAAATGCATATGCGTGGGGTCCGTGTGTTATTGTATAAAAGAGCTGTATGTTGTAATTGTATTCAGATCACTGGATCAGTAGAGAATAGAATTGGGGTTAGATTAATCGCTGGAAGTTGTTAGCATTGCATAATATAAGTACTACTACTACTAAATTCAAACCAAGTTGCAAATTTCGAAACGTTATAATGCCGTTTCCTGACCATCAGATTTCTGTCAAATCTTCCCCCAAAGTCCAGGAAATGGCATTACAGAGACTCTAAATTCAAAAATTTTCCTGGGGGCATGCCCCCGGACCCCCCTAGACAAACCTCGCACCTGCGGCGCTCGGCTCGTGCCTTCGGCCCCCGTTTATCAAGCGAAACATTATAGGGGCGCATATTTGTTGACAGCCCACTGGCCCCCCGAGAAAAATATTACCCAGCACGCCACTGGGGGAACCTGTGGCGATTTCCCTGTATGACGGCGCTATATTAGCTGAAATGGAATCTCATTAAATCGTATATTACTTATCACCATTCTGCGTTTAAGTAGATTTAAGGCAGCTTTTCAATATATATACACAGATTTTCGAAACAATGATTTTAACAATTGCTTTTATGTCTAGATCAATTGAAAATTAGAAACCTCCGTTTAATTAGAGGAGGAATTATAAACAGCTAGCTGTGTACTGAGGGTACTGAGTCATTCAAGAAGAAGGTTTAAATCAATCTTACCACAGACGCCACACAATCTTGGACATTGCTGGCGAACGCGTGGATATTTGCACCACGATTGGTCTCGCTTTTTACAAATTCCATCTTCTGGGCGGCTACAACTACTTTCATCTGGAACAAAAGAAATGTTTATATTTATCAAGAGACATTCGGCAGATAAAAATAAGTAGTTTACAAATTTCAAGGAGTGAAGGAGTTTACAAATCCGAAATATCAGTTTGACTTACTGTTATTATAAAGCTCTAATCAAACGAGAATTAGAGGAAATGATAGTTCTGTGGGATCATTACCGCTAACTCTCGTCAACTCCGCCCATCAAAATTTGAAACAACTCAAAGTTTATGATTGAGAGACGAGAGTTTATGAAAGTGCGGTAATAGGCGGTTAAACTCGAGCGAGATTTGCAATTAACTTTCATTAATTAATTCTGCATGAATCATCCTCGTTCGCGCGGCGCTTAACTTATTAATATAGCATCGCATAAATTAAAATATTTCTTATTTTATATTATTTTAAAGGTAGTCACTTACTCCACCCTTTGGGTTCCCTTTTGACATTTGTCTCGGTATCTAAACAATTTCAAATAAATACTAAAAATATTACTTACATTCAAATAATCTTTTAATTAATGTGCATATATAAATTTTCTCAAAATGCAACTTGGAGAATAGTGCATTTCTTAAATGATTAAGCTACGTTATAAAATCATTAATAATTCATGAGGAAAATTCAAAAGAAATGAATGTTTAATCAATGTTTGTAAATCGCATAAAGATTTGTCCTGATTTACATGAACTTCAGCTTTGATTTTCTCGGCTTAGACAATGTTTATTTTTAAAATTACATCGCCAATGAACTCATAAAATGGGTCATTTTATAAGCACGATAAAACATTCGCATCCGATCTTTATCGGCTGCTTATGTTTTATCTAGTACTCAGATGATCACGTTATTTATGCGGCTAATAAGTAATATCGATCGATAATTTTAACACGAATTAGTTAGGTTATATATACGAATCTGTAAGCATTAAAAACAGTGTATCAATTAAGGCTAAATCAAATTTAGCGAAGGAAAAGAAGCTTCTCGGCATATTAAACCAAACTAGAAGCTTATAAATGTAGACTAGTACAATGGTCTACAATAAATAGTCCGATGATCGATATGCATGGCAAATTTCTATCAAATACTCGTTATATACATACAGGTCTTCTGTTTTTGTATTTATATAAAGATCAGGCTTTTACCTGTTAAATGAACATTTATGGCTGAATCATTGCGATAAAAAATGATCAAATACAATTTGAATTAAAGTGTTCGGTTGAAATCGCATTTCATTCCACATTTAGGATTTAATTAATGTTCTTCAAATTTTCGACCATTTCGGCCCAAATGTTTGTTTCCCCGATGTGGGAAACGTCTGTGATTGCGAGTTCAGTCTGCGAGTTCCAGTGTTGCAAAATGTTTAAGCCACTCACAATTTCGATGCAAAATTGCGAGTGGAAATTATATTACCAATAGAATGAAATATACGGTTCAGTACTCTTAAATGAGTTATAATTGTAACATATTTGGGCACAAAATTGTAACATATACTGTGATAGTAAAAGTAAAACGGATTTACACTTACCAAAAAATGTATATCTAGCACAAACTGAACTAAGAACCATACACATCAATGCAACAACGGATAATTTCACTGCCATAGTGTTAGAACGTTTTGCCCGTCACTTCACTTTTCAATTTCTTTGAACCAAGTTACCCTCGTGCCGTTCCTTCGTAGACTGAACAACGGTTTGTTCCATTCTCCTTTTATACTCTCGCAACTGAAACTGAAATGCATAGTCAAAAATTCAAATGTTTAAATTTTAACGGTTTTTAAATCCGCCCCCTGCATGCATTTTTTATAACTCCATAGTGATATTGGCACGAGAAGGGTTATAATTACTGTAGACGTTGACGAGTATAACGGTTTTGTTCGCTACGTGCAAGCCTTAATTTAAATTTTTAGTATATGCTAAGATATATAAAGCATAGATAATACGTTCTAGTGCTGTTGTTTTCTAAAAATATTGAATGTTATAAGAGTCGTTAATATATTGTGTCAACCGTTACAGTTCAAATTCAGTTCAAAATTTAATTAATGGCTTATTTCAATGACTTTTTTAATGTTTACTATATATAAGTAAACATAGACTGAATGCCTGCAGAGATGGGGGATGCGTATATCGGTTGGTAAATATTATACCTGCAGAGTGGCTTCAATGGGTTAATTACTGTGTAGTTATATTGCCATGCAATGGAACTAGTATGAAGCGGTGTCTACATGTAACATCAAAGATTTTGTTTGCATCTTACTTGATTGAATCATAGTTGTAATATACCTGCAGGCAGTAGCCACAAAATTTTGAGAGCCACGTGTTTATCATGCAAACGGTCGAGTGAAACCCTCTTGAAATAAAGAGTTAAAATAGAAAGCCTTTGTTTGCTGTTGCGCTGTGCCTCACCCTGTACAACTATCCTGTTTCTCAACTTATTAAATCTTAATTGTTTTTGTTTGTGGAAACACCACGTAAATTTACGTGGTGTTTCCACAAACAAAAACAATTATATTTTATCGCCAAGCAAACATTCAAAGAACTTATTATTAAATCTTGTTAATTCATCGTGGTTGTACTGACGTTTCAACTGAGCTATCGCTATCCCCATATATTGGTTTACTAATTCATTATAGTTGATACCGCGAAAATACAATCAATGCAAAAATCAATCGCCGTGACCATACACAAATTAAGTTGACATAAACTGTGACAAAAACATAACAGATGCAATGACTCCTTTTTCAATTCCAGACCATCATATCTTGATCGAACTATATGCACGAAATTGGTGACTCGATATATTACACGCATGTATAGGCACGCTTCTGCATATTGGCTCCATTGCATGACAGTAACTTCAAAGCTACGGAATTTTAGAAATTTTGAGGAAATAAAGTGTTTATTGTTATTAAAATAGAAAGCCTTTGTTTGATATTGGACTGTACCTCGCATACAAATATATCCTGTTCCTCAACTTATTAATTCATCGTGGTTGCACGTTCCACCTCGCCTATCGCTTTCCCTATTGGATTACTAATTCACAAGGGTGGGTTGACTACAAAATTTTTGTAGTTCGCTATAACTCCAGCTACTTCAAAAATATGTAGTCAGCTACAACTACTGCTACTTTTGAACAAAGGTAGTTCGCTACTGACTACAGCTACTGCTTAAAAAATGTAGCGAATTATTTCGCTATTTCGCTACACTATATACTTTTAGTTTTAGTATATTTGGAGCATCTACTAACTCAGGCTGTAATGTAATCTATAACAAATCGACTTACGAGTAACAACAGTAAACACAAAGCAACAGTTTGTAAGCACTACAGTGTTCAGGAGTGTACTAATGAAATTGACTATTGAGTATTGATTTTAAGCAAACCGTGTCTCAATATCATGTTATTCTATCAAGTTGCTAACAATTTTAAAAAGTAGCGAATAGCGATTCGCTGATTGAAAAGTAGTCAACTACTTGGCTACTTTCAGGCAAAATGTAGTTCGCTATTACTACAACTACTGTTTTAAAAAAGTAGTCAGAAACTACTGGCTACTTGAAAATTGTAGTTCGCTACAGTAGCGAACTACAACTACTTTGCTACAACCCACCCTTGCTAATTCATTACACCACTTCATACTAGCTCCATGCATTGTATTTTGATAGATATGATGGCCTGGAGAAAAACAAAACAGAAGTGATTGTGTTATGTGTTTATGTTTACCGGATTTGTGCACAGGAACGGCGATTGAGCTCGTTGACATTGTATTTTCGCGGTATAATGAATTAGGAATCCAATACTGGATAGCGATAGCTGAGAAACAGGATTTGTACACGGTGAGGACGTGAGGTACAGCCCATGAGTCCAATATCAAACAAGGGCCTTCTATTTTAATGATAATAATAACCACTTTAAATTCAAGAGGGTTTCGCTCGACAGTTAATTGCACTGATAAACACGTGCATGGCCCTCAAAATTTTGTAGCTATACTATAACAGGCATATTACACTGATGTGGACACCGCTTCATATACTAGCTGGCTCCATTGCATGGCAGTAACTACACAGTAATTAACCCATTGAAGTCACTCTGCAGGTATAATATTTACCAATGATATACGCATCCCCATCTCTGCAGGCATTCAGTCTATGTTTACTTATATATGATAAACAAAATCATTGAAATAAGCTTAATTGATTTTTTAGTCACGGCCGTTGGACATCAAACTCGTATCATATGTATAGCGAAAACTTTTAAACTTGAACTCTCAATTCTCAAACACTAATGGTTTTTGATGGTGCGTAAAAACGCACAAGTTGTTACAGGTCTGCAAACAAATTGTGACAAATCTGTTCACAAGCTGTCGACAAGTTGTGTTCGCACTGCTTGTTCCCAGTTGTTGTTACTCTTTAACAACTGTTGTTGTTATTCTTAACAACTTGTAACAAGCTCGATGGCATTACCGACTATTGTTATATTTATATTGTTATTGTTACAGTCATGATATAACAGACTATTGTTATATCATGACTGTATCGAAATTTTGGAAACAACGGCCTTGCAACATGTCTGATAATATCAATAAGGTTATTTACAACTGCAACTTGCATGGCAGTCAAAACTACTAACGGCTTTCTAGAGCAACGACTAACAACCAAATACTGCCGGCACTAGCAGTGGCGTAAAGCTCATTAGGTATATACTGGTTAGTTAAAAAACTAAGGGCCCCGACAGTTAGGGCCCCCATCAGCCATGGCCTATCGCCCAGAAAATTAGAAAACGTAAAAAATGCAGGTGAAGAATCAATGGGAAAATGCAAAAATTAATAATACTAAATCGACAACGGTAGCTGATTTTTTTATTCCATCTCAAATAAAACAAAAGTTATTCTTATAAGAAGTTCACTGTACATGTGTTTGAGTCTCTTATTGTTATAAACACGGAATTTTCCAGAGCATTCTATAATATTCAATATAAATATAATATCTCAGTCAAACAATGACAACAGTCAACAGGGCTCCCCACACCACTGATATGTCTAAGGACCCCCTCTTCCTAGGCCACTGGGCACTAGCCTGATTAAACAAGAATGAGATCATGACAGTTGATGAGAGTTGGCGCGACCTTGGTTAGTTAGCTGTTCTTAATGCTTTCCCAACACTAGCTTGTTAATCTAGAGCTTGAAATGTCTCCCAAGGTAACTGTCAATGCGTGTGATGCCAACTCTCATTCTTTATTTGACCGCGGCTTTAGCAATTAGCATATTAACGATCTACCAGGAACAAGCAGTAAGCACATATTTATATCCATATTTAAACAGACAGCTAGGACGTTGGTTTCGTGGATGAAATATCCATGCACGTTGGGTGAATACATAATAATTCTGCATACATGCTGATGTCTCAGACATCATTATGACTGTTGTCTTTGCAAGTTGTGCTTGCGGATTAGTCCCAAACAACACACTCGCCACCCATGATTGTACGTCCTGTTCTACACCTTCGCTTCCGCACGTCCACAATACCGGCCTTCGCTTTCGCACGTCCGATACTCCTCCGTCTTCAAACGTCTCCACTTTCCAAGGTTGTTTTCGAAAAGCTCCGTTTTCGTTCATGGAGGTATCCGTTTTCCATCGTATTAATGTAAACCGGTGGAAACGCATACAAAAGTATGCGAGCGCTGGTACGCCATTAAACCAGAGACTATAATTGGGCCGTTTGATTTCCGGTTGGACACTCGGAAACTGTTTTTGAGCAGATAATTTGACTCCATTTATTTATTTTGACTTCACTTCTGACGACAACAAGCATGCAAAAAACGCACAAGCCGACACAAGGACGACAAGGACAAGGTATTCTCGCGATTGAACAGTAATTTAGCGAACCGATCTGGTCGGCCATCAATTGGATTCGAACTTAATTAATTTTGCGAAATGTTTATCACTACACATTCCATAACTCATAATCCGGCAGTAGTGGTCTGCCAATTTGGAGTCTACCGGGTATCCCCCTGAAAAATTTACAGAATCATGGAACTGAATACGAAATTCAAGGAGACTAGAGGCTTCGAACTTAGTTCAAAAAGCTCAATAAAGAACATTTAATTAATTAAGTGATGTAATTAAGCGGTGAAAATGAACTGTTTACAAAGTTTTAGTGGGATCTATTAATTAAGAATTTATAACAACAAATGTTATCACTATACAAATTTTACTATTTAGCACTGCACAAATTGGTTATCACTGCCCACTGAAATTAACTATAATTAAATTATCAGAGTCAACTTGGCAGAGAACCAATTCAAATGCAAATCCACATCACAAAACCGTTGAGTATTGAATAAGGCCTGTTTTATACGTCGAATTTCGGTCGCGTCGAATGCAATTCAAACAATAGATAATGGAGCTTAATGAGGTTTATCATCTCATTATCTATTGTCTTAGTTGCATTCGACGCGACCAAAATTCGACGTATAAAACAGGCCTAAGTGGCATTTACAATTGGCATGACATTTCGGCTGTGTGTGGGGTCTAGAATTCACAGCCGAAATGTCTATATACAGCCTAGTCCCAGGCTCTCTCTCTCTATTCGCTGTTTTGATATATTTAAATAAGTCTTAAAAGTTTTATGCCTGGGTGTGCTGTGCGGAACGCTTCAGACGTCACACCACATCCCAGTCTCGTACTACATCCACGTTTTTTCTCGCGCTTGCTTCAGAACGACTGGGACTACGCTGGTCTATATATATATATATATCAATGTGAATATCACTTCATTCACTCTTCCCATCAGCCCCTTCGCCCATCTCTCCCCACTACAATACTTCATGTAAACTCGTCATATGCGCATCACTGCTTTTTTTCATCACTTGCTTAGACGAGGCAGACTTCATTCAATGACTCAGTCCAGTCTGCTTTTAACGTTAGACCAACAGTAATGGAGGAAGGAGTCAGTAAAGCCCATTGCTGACATATTCCGTTCGGACAAATTATTTGACGGACATTAAAAATTCAAGATTTTGTCACACTCGATTGAAATATTATATAATAGTTGAAAGGTCTTGTAGATGGAAATCATTGCCGGAGTGAAAATTTATATACATTTATTAGACCTAAGTAACCAGGAACAGCTACGGCAACTATATGAGGGTCTAGATGGGAGGGGGGTCTGAAAATCAGTAAACAGTAAACATTTTGGTATTTTAACGCGACAATTTTGGTATTTTAACGGTAAATCTTTGAAAAGTGTTCTGAAACGGTAAACAGTATTTTTTCCTCACGCTTCTCGGTAATTTTTTAGTGTTTTCACAACTGACGGTCATGTAGACACCGCTTCGTATACCAGCTGGCTCCATTGCATGGCCGTAACTACACAGTAATTAACCCATTGAAGTCACTCTGCAGGTATAATATTTACCAATGATATACGCATCCCCTGCATCTCTGCAGGCATTCAGTCTATGTTTACTTATATATAATAAACAAAATAATTGAATAAGTTTAATTGATTTTTTAAAATTTGAATTGTCACGGTTGGACATCAAACTCGTATCATATGTAGCGAAAACCTGAACTCTCAACCACTAATGGTTTTTGATGGTGCGTAAAAAACGCACAAGTTGTTACAGGTCTGCAAACAAATTGTCACAAATCTGTTCACAAGCTGTCGACAAGTTGTGTCCGCACTGCTTGTTCCCAGTTGTTGTATTCTTTAACAACTTGTAACAAGCTCGATGGCATTACCAGACTTGTTATAAGGTTGTTCAACACGTCTGCTATACAGTCATGCATGATCAGTATAACCGACTATTGTTATATCATGACTGTATCGAAATTTTGGAAACAACCTTGCAACATGTCTGATAATCATCAATAAGGTTATTACAACTGCAACTTGCATGGCAGTCAAAACTCCAAACGGCTTTCTAGAGCACAACCAAACACTGCCGGCACTAGCAGTGGCGTAAAGCTCATTAGGTATATACTGGTTAGTTCAAAAACTAAGGGCCCCGACAGTTTGGGCCCCCATCAGCCATGGCCTATCGCCCAGGAAGTTAGAAAACGTAAAAAATTCGGGTGAAGAATCAATGGGAAAATGCAAAATTAATAATGCTAAATCGACAACGGTAGCTGATTTTTTTATTCCATTTCAAATAAAACAAAAGTTATTCTTATAAGAAGTTCACTGTACATGTGTTGGAGACTGTTATTGTTATAGACACGGAATTTTCCAGAGCATTCTATAATATTCAATATAAATATAATATCTCAGTCAAACAATGACAACAGTCAACAGGCCCCCACACTAAATATGTCTAAGGACATATACACCAAATATTCCTACGCCACTGGGCACTAGCCTGATCAAACAAGAATGAGATCATGACAGCTGATGAGAGTTGGCAGTCATTGGTCAGTTAGCTGTTCTTAATGCTTTCCCAACACTAAAGTATCGTGTATTCTATTCAAGTTAAAACGTATAGTTGGAACACTCATCGAACCTTTATTTTGTCAGTAATCTAGAGCTTGAAATGTCTCCCGAGGTAACTGTCAACGTGTGTGACTGCCAACTCTTATTCTTTATTTGACCGTGGCTTTATAGCAATTAGCATATTAACGATCTACCAGGAACAAGCACATATTTATATCCATATTTAAACAGACAGGACGCGTTGGTTTCGTGGATGAAATATCCATGCACGTTGGGTGAATACATAATAATTCTGCATACATGATGACGTCTCAGGCATTTTATGTTGTCTTTGCAAGTTGTGCTTGCGGATTAGTCCCAAACAACACAATCGCCACCCATACCGATTGTGTTCATAACGTCCGCGTTTTTAAAAACCTTCGCTTCCGCACGTCCTGCTCATAGATATCTTATATACACTAGATAGTGCATCTAATTATTCTGCAATTCAAAAATTGAAGCCGTGATTGCAGTCTCAGGTCGTTCCCATGAAATGAGAAGATTCGTATGTTTTCTATTTCTTAAACAGGGAACTTAAAGATTAAGTTAACCCTATTCCAAATACGCTTTTAAACTATTCAAATGATGAAAGTTATTGTTGTTTTTAAGCGTTTATTAGCAAGTGGGAACGACCAACATGGCCGCCATCTATTCAAATGGGGGTAACCGCTGGAATATTATTGGCTTCAATTTTACTAAAAGAGATGCGCTATCTAGTGTATATAAGATATCTATGGTCCTGCTCTACACCTTCGCTTTCGCACGTCCTCAATACCGGCCTTCGCTTTCGCACGTCCGATACTCCTCCGTCTTCAAACGTCTCCACTTTCCAAGGTTGTTTTCGAAAAGCTCCGTTTTCGTTCATGGAGATATCCGTTTTCCATCGTATTAATGTAAACCGGTGGAAACGCATCAGTACAAAAGTATGCGAGCGCTGGTACGCCATTAAACCAGAGACTATAACTGGGCCGTTTGATTCCCGGTTGGACTGACTCGGAAACTGTTTTTGAGCAGATAATTTGACTCCATTTATTTCTTTCTTTTGACTTCACTGCTGACGACAACAAGCATGCAATAAACGCACAAGCCGACACAAGGACGACAAGGACAAGGTATTCTCGCGATTGAACAGTAATTTAGCGAACCGATCTGGTCGGCCATCAATTGGAATCGAACTTAATTAATTTTGCGAAATGTTTATCACTACACATTCCATAACTCATAATCCGGCAGTAGTGGTCTGCCAATTTGGAGACTACCGGGTATCCCCCTGAAAAATTTACAGAATCATGGAACTGAATACGAAATTCAAGGAGACTAGAGGCTTCGAACTTAGTTTGAAGCTCAATAGAGAACATTTAATTAATTAAGTGATGTAATTAAGCGGTGAAGATGAACTGTTTACAAAGTTTTAGTGGGATCTATTAATTAAGAATTTATAACAACAAATGCTATCACTACAAATTCTACTATTTAGCACAGACTGCACAAATTGGTATCACTGCCCACTGAAGTTAACTATAATTAAATTATCAGAGTCGACTGGGCAGAGAACCAATTCAAATGCAAATTCACATCACAAAACCGTTAAGTATTGAATAAGGCCTGTTTTATACGTCGAATTTCGGTTGCGTCGAATGCAATTCGAACGATAGAGTAATGAAGCTTTAATGTCATAATAGGTTTATCATCTCATTATATCTATTGTCTTAATTGCATTCGACGCGACCAAAATTCGACGTATAAAACAGGCCTAATAGTGAGGCGGATATGTGTAAAATTATTGATCAGTAGTTCCCGTTGAGGTTAAAAGCATCAAACTTTTACAATTGATGTAGTTTTATTTGCTTAATAGATATTTGAAGTGGGGCCATCGCTATTTTGCTGCTAACTCCTGAAAACGGGTGATTAGTGATTTTCTTCTATTGAATTCTATTATAGCCAAAACATGTGAAATTTTGTTCTACTCATAAAAAGATGCTACTGTGCACAATTTGGTGCTTTTAACCCTCTTCGGAAACATCCATGCACATATCCGCCACACTATAAGTGGCATTTATTATAAGTAATATCATGAAATGAGGAGTATTAGTCATTAAACCACCCGCTCGACGAGGGTCATTTATTAAAATTCCCGAGGGCCGTAGGCCCGAGGGAATTTTAATAAATGACCCGAGTCGAGCGGGTGGTTTAATGACTAATACTCCTCATTTCATGATATTACTTTGTAATATTATTTTTGCGTGAATTTCACCCAAATCAGTGTTCAGACACTGTCAAGGATGTCGGCGGAGCGTTATAGTATGTCATAATTTCGTGATAATTTTGCTCAAACTTTCCAGGTGATGTGTTAATACTAATACGACCCGTAGTGACGTCAACTGAGGTCGTATTAGTTCTAATACGACCTGTACATTTGAGTAGGCGAGTGAATTAGTTACTAATACAGCACAATAGAACAATAGAAATTCACGGAAACATGATATTACAATTGGCATGACATTTCGGCTGTATGTGGGGCCTCGAATCCGTGCTCGAATTCACAGCCGAAATGCGTATGCCAGTGTAAATATCACTTCATTCAATGACTCTTGCCTGCTTTTAACGTTAGACCGTCAGAAATGGAGGAGAGAGTCATTAAACTGTTCATCGCCGATATGCCCCCCCCCCCGATATATTCCGACCGTTGAAATGGCAAATGATTTGACGGGCATTATAAATTCAACTGAGATTTTGTTGGCATCTCACTCGATTGAATATAATTGAGGGTCTTGTGGATGGAAATTATCGAGTGGAAATTTATATACAGTTTTATTATTAGACCTAACCGGGCACAGTTGTGAAAAATGCAACTATAGGTCGGCCTGGCAGGAATCGAACCTGCTGCCCTAGCTCAGTTGTTTAGAGCGATTCCAATCGCACTATAGAGGACAGTTGTCGAGCTCTAACCACAAGTTGGTCGGTGATGGCAACAAAATCTTAATAATAATAATAATGGTATTTTAATAACACATCATCGCATGAAAATGAATTACAATGTGTTTTACAATTGATTTGAATGGGAATTACAATACTAAAAGTAACTATATTACAATATATCATTAGATTATTAAATAAGAACTTATAACTAAGAACAATTATTTGTTTAAAACACTAATCATGCTAGGGAAAAAACTATTACCAAATCTATCAGTACTACATTTAAAAGAAGCGAATTGTTTAAAATTCCTTAAATTATACACATGTTCGTTCTCACTGGTGAGAGTTAGATGGGAAGAAAGACGACTGCCCAATGCAATATTTTTCATCGTCTTTTCGCAAAGTTCACCTCGACGTATATATATCCAGCCTAGGACACTGCAACATTTCGTGCGCTTCACCGTAGGATCGACCTGGCAGTATAATCCTCAGTGCACGTTTTTGAATTTTTTCGACTTGTTCAGACAGATACATAGGTAGACCACAATGCCATACTGTACAACAATATTCTAATGTAGATCTAATCAATGCATAATAAATTGTGATAAGGTCGTGCGGTGGAATCCCTCCCCGTCGTAGGACACGTAGGATATGCAGTCGCTTGGATGCTTTGGTAACAATCATCGGAATATGTTCGTTCCACTTAAGGTAATACTTACCCATAACACAGAATAAGGCACATAGAAGGGCACCCTGGCCGCCATCTTCCTAGCCAGTCGATTACATTTTCTGGCCAATAAACGCGCTGTATTGGCTGGCCGCCATCTTCCTGCACCGCTGGGTGGCCCTTCTGGCACTGATCTTTATTCTGTGTCCATAACCCAGCCTCGCCTCCAGGCTCCGACTCAGACACGCGGGTTCCCACGCAAGCAGTGGACGTCCCGCCCAAATTTCCATTTCTCACGAAACGGCGCAGCACGTCAAAGCGCCTGGGGACGAGACTGACCCATAACCCATACATGGTAGCAACTCGTTCCCCGAGCCTGCGATCCTTGGGACGAAGGAACCTTGGCAGTACCCTAGTATATATACGTGAATTTGTGGTTAGAGCTCGACAACTGCTATAGCTCAGTTAGTTAGTTAGCGCTGTACCGGATCAACCATGTAATATTCTCTATATCTTCTCTCATATTTCTTTATTTTTTTATATTTCACGCCCTCGTGGAAATCAGTCCGCTAACGGTTGTTGAGGCTAGCGTGGTTAAATAAAGTTTGTTTATAATTGTATGTAGGTATCAGCATGATTAAATAAAAATTATCAGAGTCAACTGGGTAGGGAACCAATTCAAATGCAAATCCACATCACACAACCGTTGCCGTTTGTCAAACGTTAAAAGCAAGCTTGAGTATTGAATAAGTGGCGTCTACACTGACATTACATTTCGGCGGTGTGGCCTCTAATGCACATCCGAAATGTCTATGCCAGTATAAATATCACTTCATTCAATGGCTCCAACCTGCTTGTAACGTTAATTACGCCTGGCTTCCATATGACATATCGGCTGGCCACCGACTTATTGTCGGCAATCATTGAAGGAGAAAAGGATTTCAGATACAAAAAGGATTTTACTCATGAGTAATTACCGACAATGGAACTCGCCGACTGTCGGTGTCATATAGAAACCAGACCTTAATTGAACCGACAGTAATGAAGGAGGAGCCAGTAAAGTCCGTCACCGACATATTCCACTGGAAATAACAAATAATTTAACAGACATTATAAATTATAAATTACTCACTATCAAAGTTTCTGTGATCACAGTAGGAATTTTGCATGGATAAAATCTAATTCTTGAAGGTTTGTAAGAAATATTTTCGGAACTGACTCACTGTTAAACATTGAGTCAGTTCGCCCAAACATTTCTTACAAATCCTTTTAATTTTAGAATTTACAGTGTAAATTGGACAGTGTAAATTAGCCTTCGACCGACAGTAATTAGAAAAGAAGTAAAGTCCATCGCCGAAATATTCCGTTGAAAAGACAAATGATTTGACGGACATTATTATTTCTAAACAAACTTAGTCTTCGCGCCTTTTGAAGTCTGGTTAGATATTCTTTAGGTCGGAGTCAGATCTCAATAAAGCCACACTTATATACAGAGGTCTCGCCTCTGAAGGAAAACCAGCTTTACCAAAATAGCTGGCGACCATGTTCTTAGCAAGTGCCCTAATTTAAAGAAAGGCACCCACCCTTCTGGAACATTAAACTTGAATCAGTTTTCAGAGGGTGACGACCTCTCTTTAGGGCACTTGCTAAATTAACCTGAAGTGAGACCTCTGTATGTAAATACTCTGTGATAAAGCCATTCGTCTCGTATTCCAAATGTATCTATATAGCTTCGTATACAGGCGCTTTGAATTGCTACGCCGTTGCGTGAAGAGTGCGCGGGCGATCGACATCAGCTAAAATTTCCACGCGCGGCCGACTCAATTCATTCACCAACAATTACATCGTACCCAGGGCTTCTGGGTTCATTGAGCACATAAGCCCTGGGTACGAGGTTGTTCACTTACAGTTAATAGCGAACTTAAGATGAGCTAAATCTAATACGCGGACGTGGCAAAAAAGACGGTTACTTATGCTTTTCTTTTGGATTTGTTACCAGCGACGTCAGCTAAACTTTCCACGGGCGCGACGGCGCGCCGCACCAAAGCGCCTGGGTACGGGGCTGGCCCAGTTCACTGGGCTGGCTTGCGTCGCAAGTAAAGACCGTCTCAATGACGGAGGGTTATAATGCAAAAAGAAACGACTGATGTAGCCATAAATATGATTACTGAATTTTTTATTTGATTTTATTCCCAAAAATGTTAATATATAATATATACTTTATTAATTAAACTCAGAATATAAAACTTTTACAATGTAGGCCATATCATAACATGCAGAATTTAAAACCTTGTAACATTATTGTAAGTGAGTGTTGAAAAAAGCCCTTTTGGAAACCACACAATAAAATGTTTAATATTATTACTTCATAATGACAATAAAATGCTACATCCAAGTCAATAAATTGAAATTTAAGTTTTGCACATGTTCGACTTTTGATATCAATGTATACTCGTGTGCTGAACAAGATTCTATACGGTGACTCCCCAATTCTTTTTGACACACTTGTGGGCTAAAAAACAAAGAAAAGTACTTAAATAAAGTATTAATAAAGTATTGGGCGCCAATCTCGTTCCCAGAATATGGCCGTTCGCAGGTTAGGTGCTGGGCAAACCTGCGAACGGGCATACTCTGGGGGACACAACGTGAAGCGGCGCGACAGCCATTTAAAAAGGGCACTACTTATTACTGAGCCCAAACGTTTGTGGGCGGCAATGTTCGTTAAAATTCTCAATTACTTATAGCCAATAGAAATTTCGGCATTGATTGGAACAATTTTATTTATTGCATGACGCTAAAGAGTCTAAAATTCATTGCAAAACAACATGACAATTTGTCAATTATTTAGAAAGGCCTTCTTTTTACTTTTTGGTAAAGTCTTCGTAACGTTTCTGAGAGGAATTTGAGTTAAGTTCTAGCTTGAAAACACTTCTCAATTTCAATTCATGTGAATAACATACAACTTTCGAAGTGTAGTTCTTGGAAAAAGGCAGCCTGCTGTCCAAGAGGACATGTCCCTCGGGTAACTGGGGTGCAGCTGTGGTTCACATGCCCTATATCCTTAAATAATGTAATTAACTACTCACGGCATTTGCCACATTTCCTTGGGCAATCTTTGACAAATTTGGGATCTGATGTACACGCAGACTCGTCTTTTGTGGAACAATAAAGGGCCTCTGGTCTACAATCTATAAAATGAACAGCATTGAGAAAATACTTGCGTATAAAGCAAAATAGAGCATGTATTTGTAAAGACATGCCGTATCTTCCTAGCCTGCGAACAGGTTCTTTGATCAAAGAGAGCCTGTTCGCAGGCTAGTATCTTCCTTAACTTAAGTCTCTGTTTTTCAATTCAATCTTATCGTACTGAAATGCATACAGCGCAGGGTTGAAAATTAATGATACATATTATTAGAAAACGATTAAACGAGGGATGTATTATTACTCTGAAACAAGCGTGCTAGGATTCTTGGGATTTCAAAATCCTTGCAAAAATGCCCTTAAACAGGGAATTTAAATTGATATTTTGGCACGATTTTAGGATTGTAACTAGACGACTTTGGGATTTTGATCGAGATCTTGCGGATGTTGCAAGACAATTTGAAGTGGAAAACAATTCAGTTCAATTTGACTCGATGATGTTATACGCTTAGTACGCGCGGGAGACTGAAACTCGTAACTTACGATATCTGACTTTACTAACTGACTTTACTTATCCTGATTCAGGCCATAACGAGGAAGATCCTGGGGACGAGGTTGGATTCAAGCAATTGACTGTACTCTCATTCCAGTTAAGTATTGAGTTTTTTTATATACTTACATTCTGCACACTCGTAGCCTGGGCAGCATTTTAAGTAAGATTTCTTAACAGATTTCTGGCAAGTCTTATAACGCCCTATGCACCCGAGTATGACCGGCATAGGAATGCACATCAGTGCTGCAAAGAAATTAAAACGATGAGTCACCAATAACGGACACAACGGTAGTGTATTGCTAACAAAAATGACCAAAAAACAACGAATATATATATATATATATATATATATATATATACATATATAAATATATATATATATATATATATATATATATATATAAATATATATATATAAATATATATATATAAATATATATATATAAATATATATATATAAATATATATATATAAATATATATAAATATATAAATACATTTTTAAATATATTTTTAAATATACGGAAATATATAGGCGAAACGACAGCTTCGTTTAGTACAAAATTTGCTCGTCTGGTAACCGAAACGAAACGGGAAGCCATTTTGTTTTTGTCCGGAAGTAAATAGTGCAAGATATCCAGAGCTGAAAACCAATCAAATTGCTTCAAAAAGCACTACTTTTTCCCCACAAAACATGGACTAGACTGGACTGATTTTTACATTTTCTCTATTCTTGACTTGCACGTCAGCCGCCATGTCAGGTGGCATGGCACAAAAGAATATTTTATCACAGAATAGATATACCATGTCATGTCCATTTTGTGATTTTATCAATGAACATTGTCTGGTGTGTACCAGGAGATTGGTTGCAAGTCAAGAATATAACGTTTTGCATCTGAAATACCTTCGCTGATGACCTCACTTTATAACTGGAGTGAAATATCTTAAAGCGAAAGAAAGCCTAGTAAGAAGAATAGGATACCAAACAAAAAATACTTATCCCAGTGTCGTTGCTATGGTAGCCTGCTCGCATAGGTATTAAATTTCGATATTTAAGTCCGTATTGCCATAGGCGTAGGAAAATCGATAATTGGGGAGCTCATATTCATATATTCGTGTTCTGCATTACTCGCTTTTTGAAATTAGCCATTCCGAAGTTGATAAGTGGACTGGGGACGAGTGTTAAAAAGTGCCCAAATTAAGAAATGAACCAAATCACTAAAAAGACTACCTCAAAATTAGTAAGTATACAAAGTTTGAAGACATTTACATGAATACCCTTCGAATAATAAGCTTTCGAAAATCGTGATATTTACTATGACATGTATTGTAATTTTTGTTTTTGGGGACGCGCATCCCAGTAATTTCACAATTTTCGAAAGCTTATTATTCGAAGGGTATTCATGTAAACGTTTTCAAACCTTGTATACCTACTAATTTTGAGGTGGTCTTTTTAGTGATTTGGTTCATTTCTTAATTTGGGCACTTTTTGACATTCGTCCCCAGTCCACTCATCAACATCGGAATGACTAATTGATTGTTTTTACCTTTTACGGTCTGTGAACATGAATTGCGCTCCAGTTATAAAGTGAGGTCATCGGAGAATTAAAAGTTTTCAATTTCCGAAAATCAAAAGTAATTCAGATGCAAAACGTTATATTCTTGAGTTGCAACCAATCTCCTAGCTCCTGGTACACACTAGACAATGTTCATTGATAAAATCACAAAATGGACATGACATGGTATATCTATTCTGTGATAAAATATTCTTTTGTGCCATGCCACCTGACATGGCGGCTGACGTGCAAATCAACAATAGAGAAAATGTAAAAATCAGTCCAGTCCAACTGTCCAGTCCAGTCCATGTTTTGTACTATGCCGAGTATATGCTAAATAGTTTTATTATATTGAAACAAGAAAATACAATCACGATTATTCAGAGTATATATCTGATTACAAGAAAAACAGCATATTTACTGGTGCAAACTTAAAAATTGAATAGAAGTAAATTGGAATATTAACTTCGCCTCTGGCCGTTAATTTGCCGTTGTGGCGTTGCTCTCAAACTTGAAGCTGCTGGTTATAGATTTCTTGGTTAATTTGGTCATTATCGTGGCTAATTTAACCAGAATTCCTAGTCAATTTGACCAGGCTATCTGGTTGAATTAGCCAGATTATGTTCACATTGTTATGTGGACCATTAACCAAGAATTCTTGGTTATAATAATCCACATTCAACATATAACCTGGTGAATTTAACCAAATATAACGACCTGGCTAAATTAACTGTATAAATTAGCCACGGTAATGACCAAGTTAACCGGCAAATTTAACAGAAACATTATAACTTACCCCAAACCGCAGTCAGTGTTCATTTTAGACTGATTAATCAGAAATATTTTAACCAGAACCTACATTTTGGACTAGTTGCATGCATGGACAATGCGAAACCTCAAAAATTAGTATTCGTTCCATTGCACTTTTTCACACGGTAATTCAATAAATAAATCAATAGTTGACAGTGCAAACCAAAAGGAATACACAGTTATCTTAACTTACTTGAGTCTGAGTAAGGTGAAGCACAATGATATTGCGGGCGGCAGCATTCAGCGCTCGTTGTGCATTCAATGTAATAACCTTTGCAGATTCCGTCGTCTGAGCGCTTATCTATATCACAGTCCAAAAAATAGCATAGATCGAGCACTTTAGTAAATATACCCTCAAGTAAAACTCAATCCTAAATAGACTAAAAACTAAATCCTAAAGTAAAATACATAAGTAAATAAATAAAGCAACATTATAGTAATACATACCACTAACAGGCGTTGAACGACTACATACAAGCTCAAATAGAACAGCAACCAGCAACACAGAAATTTTCAACATGTTTAAAATATATAACTCTTCGATTCTTCTCAATTTTGTTCACTAACTTTTCTTGATCCTTTGCTTGAACTGTCCCGACAGAGCTATTCTACCCTACTATATATATACACGCTCGCCCACGGGTCATTGACAACATCGCGCCTTAACGGAATTAACGGTTTAAACGGTTTTTGAACGGGTTAGCTTTAATGTTTGACGGCTGTCCATTGTATACAACGGCTAACGCATGTTTATGCCAAGAATGACGCTGTTTACCGCCTAATTAAAGTCTGGTTTCTATACCATTCATATGGTCGTAACGGTCGTAACAATCGAGTCACGATCTTTCTCATCAGCCAATTAGATGCAACATTTTAGAACTGAAAATACGCGGAGTGATTCGAACTAGAGACAGGGCATTTTTTAAGAAATTACAACTACCGAGGCTTAGTCTCAATGAGGGCCTTTTCCCCCAGACAGTTTATACGGGTACATAAAAATCACTTTGTGCCTGGGGGCAGCGCTAGCGCTAATTGAATAGGGTCGTGGGTGGGTGTGAGTGAAATATTGCTTACTATTTCAAACGCTAATTAGTATTTCCTTTTATCCAATTGGGATTAGATAATTTGCCGACTACCTGATGATTGGGCAGTGTTCCACACCCACAACCCACTTTTAGAGCAGCCCCTGCCTGTGCTGACTTTTATGAGAGGGAATGTCGAACTCGAGAATGTGAGAGTATATGAGAAAGCAGGCAGATACAGCTTTCTCAAGAAGGTTGATCTTTTACTATAATGATCAAAAGGGCCCAGTTCATCTGAAATCATACTTCACTACTGGGGCAAGCGAAGGGTCTACTGGGGTAAATGATGCCCCAGTAGTATATAGTTAAAAAATGCCCTGACTAGAGAATACTTATGTTTTATATGTGGTTTACAGGTATATAAACTATATTAACCGGCCGTTGTGAGAAAGATCATGACTCTATTTTTACGATCATTATGAGTGACCATATGGAAACCAGACATAAGGGCCATTGAGAATACATGCACTCACACATACATGTACTGTATGCCGGTAAAACACATTATAAAATAACATGTACATAACGCGTATTCTGATTGGTCGAAACCCGTGTTTGGATCAGGCCATCCAAGCACGGAGGACTATCGTGTTGTTGTTATTTTATAAAACAGTTACTTTATGGTTTCCGTGTTTGGATGGAATGATCCAAATACTTGGGAATGTTGCTCGAGTTAAGAAAAGCGGGCAAAATCACTCGCCTTCGGCTCGTGTTTCGCTCGCTTTTCTTAACCCTCGCAACATTCCCGCGTGTTTGGATCAGGCCATCCAAACACGGAGACCAAAAAGTAATTGTATATTGACATGTACTCTAAATTTGGTTCTATATATTGTATGCTTACATTATCAGAACAGTGGTATAAATTGTCCATAATTCATAAACGTGATTGGGCGTTAACGGGAATAATGCTAAGACATGCCACTTGTCTTGTTTAATAAGTGTTCCTGCATTTTATCAATTTATCGTTTTCAATTAATGAGTTTCGTAGTAAACGGAAAACCTATATAGTATATACAGGCGCTTTTTTTAACTACTGTAAAACGCCCAGAATTTAGTTTTGAAGTCTGTATTAAAATATAAATTATATAGGACCATATTAGCTAGCGGACGGATTTACCGGTATTTTAATATTATATTTGGTATTATAGTTAATATTTAATATTCGATACTCTCATATTACATTGTAGGATTAAAAACACTTTTCCAGATACTTGTTTGTTAAACTTTATCTATAATATAGCTTTAACAATCTTTTAAGTCGACTTGAAAATCTACCACACAAGTACAACTTATGGTTCTTGCTAGCTAGCGAGAAGAGTCGTGCACTAAGGGAGGTAAACCTTGCTTGGAATATTTGCTACCCTTCAAGAATGGTTCCGGGTGATTACGTGCAGTGACGTACAAAGAACTTGCTGTGAGCGCTTGCATCTCATTTGAAAAGCAAATAACTAAAAATGTTTGTTTTTAAAGCGAGAATGCATGCGAGTTAGCAGTCGCACGACCTTGTTTAGCTTTCCCAACACCATCATGTATTCTGTTTCAGTTAAAATGTGGTTGGAACACAGCCTCGTCCCCGGCGCTTTGATGAGCAACGTACCTCGATTCCCGCGCGTGCGTCACGCAACCAGTAAGCACATCAAAGCGCCAGGGACGAGGCTGGTTGGAACACTCATCAAACCTAGAGCTTGAAATGCCCCTGTATTTCCCCTGTAATGAATGGCCAATCTCGTTCCCAGAGTACATGCCACTACATAGCCCGCGAACAGGCTTACTCTGGGAACGAGATTGATGAATGGCTGACTTCCACTGGACCTAAGTTCAAGAGATAATTTTCGTTGCAACATGCAACGTGATTTCCGCCACACACTTGCGTTATTTACAGGTCTGATACTAAAAGGTCACGAAAGTGAGAATGAGAATAAAATAAAAACATCAGAAAAGTTGAACTTATTGTTGTTATAACCTAATAATAGCTATACATCGTGGCGGTCAGAAAACCAAAAACTTGTCATGACATAGAAGATTTGTTGTGCGTATATATACGTATCGAATTGATAAAAAAAAACTTAAGCTTGTCAGATACAAACTTGTCATCAATGTAAACCAAGAGTTTTTGGTTGTGCATGGACTAAACGTTTTCTTGATGGAAGGATGGCTCAAGTGAATTTGGGTGGCATAAAATCAAGGTCAGAGTCTTGCCCTGTTGGTGTACCTCAAGGTTCGATTATCTCTCCTACGCTGTTTAACGCCCTGCTCCAATATAGCTGGAAATATACGTGCTTCGCGAGTGCGCAAACACGCTGAGCGCTCCGGAAAACTCTTTGTTTTTCTACCTTTAACACTCAAGATTGAATACAAATTTGAATGAAAGATGCGGATAAGAACACTGTCCAAGGTATTCTGAAGTTTGCGGACAGTTTTTATATTTAGTGGATGAAAAAGAACAAATTTACGTGGATTTGGTCATTTTCGATTGTGTGAACTCCAGGATGGCGTCATATGATGGCGTATTTTCACGTCAGCACTCGTAAAATTTCGGACAAAATATCGTCTGAGTGACACTTCTGGTCCAGTATCTATTCTGTGACATTCGCCAGCGTGTGCGTGATTGTGTGTTGACGCTATTTGAACAGCTAACGAATTTCTGCTGAACTGATTCGCGCAATTTATAAATTTGTTATTTTCGCGCGTAATTTTGGATTACGATCAATTTGAACAATGAACGTCATCAATCTCGTTCCACGAGCCTGCGATCCTTGGAAAGGAACGCGAGGCTCTGGGATAATCCGTAATTGCCGGAAGCCAGGAATCCTGGCTAAGATAATGCTAAGGTTGAACCGTGCATTCCATACGGCTAATCAGATTCCTCCCTGAAACGGATTATCCCAGAGCCTCGCGTTCCTTCCCGAGGATCGCAGGCTCGGGGAACGAGATTGGAACGTCATCAATATTAAAACCGCTAGCTGCTCATTGTATTCTGGATTCGTGTGGACTTTAATTCTCACTGTAATCGTCTTGTTATCCAAAAGATCGAAGCCTGAAATTGTACATTACGACGGAAATGCGAACGTTTCAAACATTTCTATCAGCTCGGAACTTATATCAATACCTGGTCATAGAATAAAGATCCATATAGAAGGGCCACTTACGTCGGAAGCTTTGAAGTTTCTGTCCTCGCGCATGTCGCATTACGCATGTTGGCCGCCATTTTCCTAGCCAGTCAATGAAATTTTCTGGCCAATAAACACGCTGTACTGGCTGGCTGCTCCGCCTTCTGGCCAGTAAACTGCATATTTTTGCATAAAAAAACGAGGACACGTTGCACCCCTGAGTGGCCCTTCTATATGGATCTTTATTCTATGACCTGGTAGACTGGGCTTGCTTTGGACATCAACGCGTGACCGTGTTCTTCGAAAATATAACCTTCCATTGAACAATTACCATCGTTCTGTCTACAGTTTAATGTCAATAATAATTATTCACAGTGACAATCAGTTTATAAAAGAAGGCGCGATAATGTATTTTGATTTTAAACAATGCTGATAAGGTTTCTGCTAAAAGATTAGCTTTTTAAGTATATGAGAAATCTATTTATACAGCTGTTTGTACTCTATTAAAAAGTCATCAAAATTAGAAATATTGTTCTGATAGGAGTCTATTAAATCACATTTTTTCTGAAAGCATGAAATGTGCTATATTTTGGGAAAACTGCATATAAACACATCGTAAAACGTTTCAAATTTCGCTCGAATAGTTTTTTATACTTTGATATAAAAGTATATTTATTAACCTTAGACTTTATTGTTTGCTGGGCATTTTAGATGATGGTGGACTGTGGAGTGTCTTCTAAATTAATAATAAATTGTGTTATAATTTAGTGCTGCAAAATATGCCGTACTGATATGAAATATATAACTATTAGAAAAGTCAGAAAAGATGCACTAAAAGACGATTGAAACTTAAGCACGTTTTATTTAAAACAAACTATCCTATTTCACACAAGATTGACTATAGTGAAAATGCTTGTCTCTTCGCATTCAATAGATGCGTACTTCATATGCTGCATTCCATCGTTCGTCCCCGTCATCAAACTTAACAAAATACTTAGAACTGAGAGCAGAGACAGTGCCACTGTAATATCTTTTTCTTCCTGGCCAGTAGCCAATCACACGTTGACCAAGTTTTACGTCATCGCATGCTGGTAAGTTATCAGCGATAACAGCAGATGCATCACTCTTGGACAATGTGATTGTATCACCATCGTCATAATTAATGAATACGGACGAAGAATGAACCTTGGTAACAAAGCCACGGTAATACAATTTATTCGTCCAGCGTGCAAGAACTCTAGAACCGACTAAAATAAAGGTAAAATAGCAACAATTAATCAACGAATAAATAAATAGAACCCGGGAAAATTAATTTCTTTCAGATTTTTGGAGTGTTTCATGCGATAGTTGGCATGCACAAAAGTTAGCTCTGAAAAAATGGACGCGAATAGCTATTTTCTTGAATGTTTAATTTACGAATTTAAATACAAATTTTACATGAAAATATCCATTCTCTATTAAAAAATAGCCCGAAATCCTAATCATGACAAATTTTGAAAAAAAAATAAAATAAATTTTGGCAACTATACACCGACAATTACCGCTAAATTTCTTATGCAATACCCTCTAACCGAATCAGTTAATTGAACTATATTAGCTTACGTGCATGTGGCGAGGGCACATGAGGAAATTTTCGGAGACTACTTTTTGAATACCAGCCTTCGTCATTATCATCAAAACGAACTCTATACCCAAGTGCCTGGTCTACTTTTATGACAAATCCGATGTAATGCTTCGCTCCCCCTTTCCATGAAGCAATCACGTGGTCTTGGTATTTCACATTTTTAGGAATGGTATCAGCAATGATGGCGGAATTATCGTTTCGGTGATAACTCCTCTTGTCACCGTCGTCAAAGTCAACATCAATCACGTGAGAAACGGCACTCACTCTACCCTTGTAGTACAGATTATTTGTCCAACGTGCCAAAACGCGTTGACCAACTATAAAATTTAATATTTCGAAAAATTAATCATTGATGTGTCACGCAAATAACAATTAGGGGCGGACCATTAGAAAAGTGATGGGGGGGGGGGGCAAAAGCAAAAATAAAAATCGAGCAAGGGAAACAGAAAAAAAAATTGGTGCACCAGAAATGTTTGAATAAAAAAATTCGTGCAGAGACTTTTCAATATGGAAAATTATAAGTTGACAGGGCCTATCAGAGGTACAGTGTAAGGAAAGTAAAAGAAAAATAATTTTGAACTTTTTTATATATACGTAATGGTGTGAGTAAAATTTTTCACCTTCCTCCCCCCCCAGCAAAAAATTTTGAAAAATTGTGCATGTTGAAAATAGACCCCCCCCCCCATCACTTTTCTAATGGTCTGTCCATTAGTATAAAATATAAGTAATAAGTACTGTTATTACTATGAATATAATGCCCATCACACAAGCAAATAATAACTATCAACACAGGAATAGAAAAATATAAACACGATTTATTCTAACGTTTTGACGTTTATGCTACAACATTATTACAAAGTACTACAGGATATATAATAAGTATACACTGGTTGTTATGTTAAAAAGTTGAAGATGATATACCAGTACGCCGTTCTCTTAGGAATTTTTGGCCGACGTCGACATCATTAAAGTTTTCCTTCTGCAGAGAGTTACCAATGCCGACGCAAAACACTACAATGAGTATACAAATTGCAGTGATCTTCATTCTTTTAATTTCTTGAGCTGTAAAGGAATTAAAGAATTAATCGGCATAAAATACACGGTTTGAAGTAAACAAATAACGTAAACCTCCAAAAAATTAGGGGGCGGAAAGAAATTTGCCAGACTTTTTTGGATTGTGCCCGAGTTGTCAAAAAAAAATTTCCGGAGAAACTTCCCAAATTGTTGTCGACGCGGGGGGGGGGGGAAGATGAGTGATTACGAAAAATTCCTATTAGATAGCATATTTCCCACAAAATTGACAGAATTTTCCACAAAATTGACAGAATTTGTCCCATTTATTTTTATATTAAGCCAATATTGCCCGACTGTGAAGCGAATATTGCCCGACTGGATTTGTTTGCCGCCCCCTCCGCCCCCCCCCCGCCCGCCCGGTACGCCCATGATAAGCCCTGGGCTCAGAGGCTTATATACTTTCGTAAGCGATTTTTGATGGGCTTATACAAGGGCTTTATTCTAGGGGCTTATATATTCGGGTGCTCCGATTCGGGTGGGCTTATATTCGGGGGGGGGCTTATATTTGGAATGAGGTGAGCGTTAGTACATGTGATGGGCTTATACACGGGGGGGGAGGCTTATAATCGGGAGGGCTTATAGTCGGAGGTTTACGGTATATATCAAATAACAAAATAACAAAAGAAGAACAAACTGAGGCTGCAGAGATGAAATTTAATCACGAAATTTGAAACTTTCATTAACAACGCAACATTTTTTCGACACTTATATGTACGGTATTAAAGCACTAAACAGTGTGTTCTTGTGCAGCTGAGACGAAATTGTTTTGTTTGTCATGACACTCGAGATTTGTCAAGCGGTTTGAAAACCAGCAACTGAGTGATGTAGCCGTTTACTGTAATTCCTGTCTGGTTTTCGATAATGGACGGAATGTAATGAACGGAAGCGTATGGTGACGCATAAACACGTTCTGGAGCAAAGTGAAATATTCTATTTAGACAAAAACCTGCGAAATTTTGCCAATACTTCAAAGATTGTCAACAAATGCGAAACGCCATTATTTTTAATGCTAAAAAGGCGATCTTTGAGCCATTTTTTGACTGAGAAAATTCCGTATGTTGCTGTTTTAGATAAAAAATGTTCGCTTTATTCCATTTCTTAAAAAAGGTTGTTTTGTCGCTGCTATAGGTGCACCACCCTCAAAGTGTTCACGGAAATCCCCGTTTAACTATATATATAGTTGACACTGCAATGGCAATGCCAACCTCAAAGTTGTTAATATGCAAAATCTCTCATTTTTGCCCCTGCACTAGCTGCTGCAGTAGCAGCGCCACCCTGAAAGCTTTATCTCTAAGACTAAGTTGTCGCTACAATAGCAGTTGGGCATGCCAACATCAAAGCCTTTAGTTTTACGCAAAATCTCTTGCCCGTTGTTGTCACCGCCAGACCTATAGACACACACGGTTGCGTTATTTAGCAGTGCCAACCTCAAAATTCCGCCACATTCAGCAAATAAGAAAAAAATGAGTTTGTATCCAAAGGTTTCTATGAACATATTATAATCCACTGGCAAAAACATTTTTTGTTAAAAAAATAATTATTTTCTTAAAATAAGAAATTGATTTTTTGCAGTGCAGTAGGCTGGCGAACTTGAGGCAAATAGAATCAGGTTACATGCATGCCGATACAGTTAATTCAACAGAAACTTACCCAAATGCAGAGATCTTTCTCAGCTGGTTTTCTTGCAGATGTTTTCACTACAAATGTCTTTTCAAAATGATTGCAAAATCGATGGTATTTCGGCTTTATTATTGCTCCTGCATTTTGAGTAGGGGAACTAAGTCAAGTACTTTGTTTATACTGAAGATGTATATAATTATAGGTTATTTTGAGGCAACGAGGGGATATGTGATTTAGTCAGCGAGGCGCGCAGCGCCGAAGTGAATGAACACATATCCCCGAGGTGCCTCAAAATTCACATTGCGAGGTCGCGTTAATGAGTCAGAATAGAAATAATTCTTAATTATTGCCTTCGTTATGTTGTTTTTTCTCATATTTTCCACATCAACGCAGTATAGATAAAAATTTGCAACAAATCCCATTTGTATATACTATTGAATAAAATGTTTTTAAAAAAGAAGTCTTTTGGGATGGACGTTTGAGCGAAATGCATATACACACTCGAATAACACGCAACTGATGTACTATTGGTTTTCTATTGAGTAGATATTAAATTACAATTATATCTGTATATAATATACATAAAGATATTACTCGACTGTGATTGTTGATTTCAGTGGAGTTAATCCCAAACAGCAGTGCAATTTTCTGTAATCACAGTGCAATTTTCTGTAATCATAGTGCAATTTTTTGTAATCACAGTGCTTTTATCTGTAACAAACTGATCTGATTGGTGGAAAAACATTGTGATGATTAAATCAAAATCAGTTTAAAGCAACTTAGTTTAAAGAAGTAACGGTCACAGATTGCTTCAAAACCAAACGAACATGACTCCGCGCTACATGCATAAAGTAAAAGTTTCTTTCGCGTGGAAAATATGGCTTCTACTCTTACCTCTAATAGTCCAGCAGATATGCACAGATATTTGAGAAAATCATGCACTTTGTGAAGAAAGCACCAAATTCACAGGAAGTGTAGACTTTAACATGATAATGAATCTTAGATATGGAGGCATCACCAAAATTGATGCTGACGGCTTAAAATTTAGGATAATCTCTTATACAATTAAAAATTGTGAAATTGCAGGTTCACATATAGCAAAAATGACATGTGTCATTAGAAAGCTTACAAAAAACTGCATATAAGACATTTAAGCAGTTACTTTGATTTTCCAACTCCTCTGGAGTTATGAGCAGTTGAAAATCCAGGATTTTGGCGGGAAATAACTGGAAAGCCGCTTGGAAAATCAATCAGCCGTTTAAAAGTCTTATATGTAGTTTTTTGTAAGCTTTCTAATCATGCAAGTCATTTTTGCTATATGTGAACCTGCAATTTCACAATTTTAAACAGTAATAGAGTTTAATAAGAGAATATAAGAAATCCTAAATTTTAAGCCATCAGCATCAATTTTGGTGATGCCTCCATATCTAAGATTCATTATCATGTTAAAGTCTACACTTCCTGTGAATTGGGTGCTTTCTTCACAAAGTGCATGATTTTTTACTTTTCCGCTGGACTATAAACGGAAAAGCATTTATCTTAAACAACACTAACAAAAATTACATAGTTGAGGGGAAATTTTCAAGCTGTTAAGGTCCAGACACGCCGGACGCGATTCGACAACGCGACGCGATTTTGTACTTTTTGAAAGTTAATAAAACAGCCAATAACAGCAAATTTAAGCGTAAAGCAGTTTATACTAATAATGAAAATGATTGGGGCAATTTTAAAACAGCTAAAAATCTAGTTAACTATAAAATTAGAGATAGTAAAAAGCAATATTATAATTCTTTGTTTCAACTCAACGTAGGTCGAACTAAAGAAACTTGGAATGGTATCAACAGTCTTCTTTCTAAATCTAAAAATTCAACTACTATACCAAAAATCTTGCAAGATGAAATCGAAATTACTGACCCAGTAACTATTAGCAATGTTTTTAATAAGCACTTCACTGAAATCGGACCTAAATTAGCAGCACAAATTCCAACAACTGGTGCGGCCTCTTCTAACATTCCGCAAGTTTTTGAATCACATGAAGTTACTCCATCTCAAATAGATGGACTAGTTTATAAATTATCGACTTCTAAGGCTAGCATATGCCTTTTTAAACAAAAACAACCTTTTATCTGACATACAGTCAGGATTTAGACCTCGATCTTCACTCAACGTTAACAGCTATGCTTGATGTCACTGATAAATGGTACACTAACATGGACAGTGGATTAATAAATGCTGTCTTATTCATTGATTTAAAAAAGGCTTTTGATACCATTGATCATAACATTTTACTACAGAAGTTAAGTTGTTACGGTTTCAACAAAGAAGCGATTGATCTTTTTAGAAACTATCTTTCTGATCGTACTCAAATAACAGTTATTAACAACATACGATCTGATACTCGTAAAGTAACATGTGGAGTTCCTCAGGGGTCTATCTTAGGTCCACTACTGTTTTTAATATATATAAACGACCTACCTAATAGTGAATTGGTATCAGATGGGCGTTTATTCGCTGATGATACCAACTTGACATTTGCGGACAGCAACCCTGACAAGTTGATTTCTGTTCTAAATGACGACCTTAAAACTCTCCAAAACTGGCTTAACCTGAATAAACTAAGCCTGAATGCGATTAAAACTAAATGTATGTTTATGGCATCCAGGCAAAAATTAAGTACTGTTCCTGAAGAACCTAATATTGCTATCGCCAGAAACAAAATTGAAAGAGTTAGATCTTATAATGGTTTATTTATTTATTAATGATATATGATTAGGTTTAAAACTGGACGAGAGTTTGACATGGGAGCATCATGTTTCTACTATAATCTAATCTCCATAGTCTCCAAAGTCTCCAAGGTGATTGGAGTTCTACGAAGACTAAAACCATTGCTCACACAGTCAACTCTTGTCATGATTTATAACTCTTTAGCACAGCCTTACTTTGATTATTGTAGTATTGTCTGGGATAGCCTAGGTAAGGGTCTTGGACAAAGGTTACAGCGATTACAGAATAGGGCTGCAAGAATTATTACTGAATCTGATTATAACATCCGGTCATCAGATATTTAGTTAACATCATTGAATTGGACCAACCTTGAAACCAGACGTACCCAACAGTTCAAAACTTTTATGTACAAAACTGTTAATAATATGGTTCCTAGTTATTTGTCTGGAAAATTTACTTCCACGTCAATGATACACGAACATAGTTTGCGTGGATCTAATCATAAACTTTTTGTACCAAGACCCTTAACGGAATCCTTGAAGAAAAGTTTTTCCTGTAGAGGAGCTACCCTATGGAATGACATACCCGTCGAACTCACTAGAGTTCAATCTCTCGCTGAGTTTAAATCTAAAATATCTTAATATTTCTTTTATATTAGTTTCTTTGCATGTGTAGTTTGTTACTTTTGTAAATAGTTTGATACTTTTTTATTAGTAATTAGTCGACTAGTATAGATACACGTCTCCATTGAAGAGCACATAACATAACCTGTGAAATGGACCTCGTGTTTTAAATAAAGATGTCAATCAATCAATCAATATGTAAACCAAATAATTCAAAATGTTATAACGCTTCTAAATATTTGAAAAATTTAAACTAGGATCAAAGTTATCGTTCAGTGAAAATCGAAAAATCGCGTCGCGTTGTCGAATCGCGTCCGGCCGGTGTCTGGACCTCATTAGCGTTGTATAATGTGATTTAGTATAATTACATAGGTGATTATTGAAAATTCTCCACGCTGATTGGTTGCCGTTGAGGTGATTATTACGCGATAATCACCTAAGCGATTTTCAAAATGGCGGCCGAAGCCTTTTTGTCAATTAAATGACGAAGAAATGTGTATTTTCTTATTTTTTCCAAGTAATCACCTATGAAATTATACTAAAACAATTATTCACCTCAGGCTCGGTGATTATCGTGAATAAAAACCTCGACTTCGTCTCGGTTTTTATTCACCGATAATCACCTCGCCTTCGGCGAATAATTGTTAAATAACAAAGCCAGGAAAACTTTGCCAGTGGAATGTTCGCTATAAACGCGTAAGTTAAAACTGAAATTGTCTCGAACATTTTTATGTAAATTATTAGTAAGTAATAGCATGGTTTCTCGTGAAATTTGGTCTTTATTGGATAAACATGCACTCTTGAATTTTTCAAAGACCTCAAATAGCACTCGTCCTTCGGACTCGTGCTATTTTGAGGTCATTGGAAAACTCACTCGTGCATGTTATATGCAAATTGCACTCGAAACCATGCTATTACCTATACATATATTAGGCATTACTATGTAATTTATCCATTCCTGATGATAACTAAATAAAGTCGAAACGTTGAATCAAAATGTTGTCTTTATCCGGCGGAGTTATACCGTTGCTGTGTATTTCAATACAGTCAAAACTAACATGTTTCAATACAAGATTCCAAAATTATTATTCTCAAATGCATTTTATTTCTATGATGACTCATATCATGCATGGCATTTAGATGTAAAGTGTCCCAAAAAAACCCAAAACTATTGAAATATCGTATACGGTTAGAATTTGAATACCTCAGCACTCTGCTGAACCCACACGTGCATCAAAGCTCAGTTGACGTAAGTAAATTTTATGCATAAAGAAACCGTTTAAGAAGCGTTTATCTTTGCATTCAGCAGAGTGCTGAGGCATTCAAATTCTAACAATACGTTATTTCAATAGTTTTGGTTTTTTTGGGACACCTCAAAAAACCAAAACTATTGAAATAACGTATTGTTAAAATTTGAATGCCTTACTGAGCACTAAGCTGAATGCAAAGATGCGTAAAATATTGACAAAGGGTGCATATATTAAATATTGACTAATTGACTTCTTAAGAAATTAAAATATCTTTGTAAAGCGCACATTTTCCAGCTCTTGGGAATTTAAAACAGCTTCTTAAACGGGTTTTTTTATGCATAAAATTTACTTACGTCAAGCTTTGATGCACGTGTGGGTTCAGCAGAGTGCTGAGGCATTCAAATTCTAACAATACATTTATTTCAATAGTTTTCGGGGTTTTTTGGGACACACTACTGTAGAACAAGTTGACCA